GATCCCAGTGGGGTAAGTTTCGAAGCCTCCGTCCGCTCTGGCCTTTTTGACATTTCAAGGGCGTAGGCCTATATTGATTTTTGTTTTTTAAACACGTTCTGCTTATTTAGGGGTCCGCTCAGCCGTTTTGGGCCCATGTTCCTGGCAAAAATATAAACAATTGTGGAATTTAAAGCTTTTATGCGGTATTTAGTGTCAAGTTCTTTGTAGATTGATTCCTGTTGCTTCCTAAAACTTTTGCAGTAGCAGTTCTTGATCTAAGCCTGGTAGTACTTGTAGCCAATGCATTTTCCATCCTATTTTCCTCTCCTGCAAAAACTGAATTCGATCCCTTTACTTTTGATTGATCTCTCCATGACTGTCCTTTATTAATGACAATCTCATGTCACCTTGCACACGTTGCAACTTCAAACCGCCGACAGGTAACACGAGTCAGACATCTATGAACATGGTGGTTTATACCTCCACGGATAGATGAATACATGGGTGGATGCATTCATGTCGAAGATTTGCTATTTATTACTTTAAATTACGTATTTATGTCAGGTTATCCACTCGGCCTACTGTCACGATTACAATCTATTAATTATTTCAAGTGGTGTAGCACAAAACTAGGCCTATGTGATAGTACTTTATTAGTGTATTATTCGGTCGATGGTCATAATGACTTTGGGGACCTAAGTAATGCGTATGAAAAATATTGACTTGGCAATGCATTTCTTTACGTACTGTATAAGCCTTCATCATTCATTAACGTGATACCGAATTTGATCGTTTTTTTGATCACTTTTGTTTGATTTCAGAAAAGAAGAATATAATTCAGGAGTGGATTGACTGGTTAGGCGTTGAAGTTGTAATAGTCATTGCTGCAGCTCTTGGACTTGTTCTAATTGTAATGATAATTACATGTTTTGTATGCTGTTGTGGATGCTGTACAAGAAAAGAAAAGCGCGATTCTAAGCCATACAGGGCGCCACCAACGCCAAGACCAACTTCGTTTCCATCGCAGTCAAACTTCTCTTCGTACTCATCAAATTCAGCAGGCCCAGGAAGATATTTTCCACCACCCAATATGTACCCACCGATCCAAAATGGCGGCTATAGCGTAGTGTATAACCATGACAATGGAAAAGTAGACTTTCCGCAGAAACTTTGATTTGGATGAAGTTTCCCTGTGGAATTCTTACGACGTAGTTCCATTATCTGACTTTCGGTCAATCTTTACAAAAACTGATTATGAATATTTTGACGATTTTATATTGACAGTTTACCTGTTCTGTACTGAGATCAGGTACTATCAGATATGTTTAAATGTTTAAGCGTAAACTCCAACGAATAAAATTAAATACTTCTCGAAGTAACTCTGCTGTAACTCAAATCGAGCCTGTATCCCAACGTCTCGTTACTAATTTAAATATCGCTTTGGCTAAAGTTAGAAACATTGGTGTATGTTAAGTGTTTCATGATTTTAGTAAAATATGCCGCAACCTTTTTAGCCCCTGTCTCTTATACACATCTAGATGTGTATAAGAGACAGCTGTTATGTTGTAGAATTCAAAAGCATCACATGTTTTAATTGTGTGCATTGATTGCATTATGTTGAACAATACGGGTTACAAGTTACATTTTATAAATTTTCCTGACTCATATGTTTTAAGAATGAGCAACTTCTGGGGAATTGTATATGAAATATTTGCATTTATTTAGTTTAATGTCATGTTTTATGGTGATTTGAGAAGGGTCCCACTAAGAAGTGATATGAAGGTGTGTGTGTGTGTGTATAGCTCAATGATAAATTAAGCGTTATTATATTTGACTGTTCAGCAGGTGGGCCGACCCATTTAGACAAAACTAAGCCTACAGTTTGGACAGTAACTACATGGCTAATATTGTGTGAACGTTATTTCTAAATAAAGGAATTCCTCCGAATAGAATAGTTAGTATACTTAGTGTATGGTGGATAATAATGTTTGTGAAGTATGTAAAGCTGCCTTAGTTCATGTCAGCAGAAACGTGGGCAATGGACTTTACGGAGTGCCAATCAAACAGGACCAGGGGGAAGTGCGCGTCCTACAAACATATATCTTTACATACGTCTACATTGTTGTCGGTTTTTGGACCTGGCAACAATATCCAATGGGCGGGGCTTAGCGAAACCTTTTACCATTGTTTCCTTTGATGGTAAAAGTGATAAGCTTGGCGTATACAGTATTAATCTACAATGTAACATGTTTTGTTTCAGATGGTCCTTGTTGAAAGTGAATCTTTCAAACAATGTATGGACACTATCGATCGTTGAGCGCGTAACGTGTGTTATGGGACATGCGCGTATCCCTTGCCTTGTTCTAATTGGTCAGTTGTTAAGTTTGATTGACACTCTGGAATTGCCATTTCATTCTATAGCGCCAACTGGCAACATGCGAGCGGCTTACAGTGAAAGTCAGGCTGTAGGCCCTATGTTATTATTATTTTTTAATGTAGAAATAAGCATTTGTATTGGTAATTAATTATTTATGGTGTACAGCGCATAGACGAGACCAAGTTACAGTGTTCCTTGTGTGTGTGATAAATAAGAATGTAAATATGTAACGTTAAGTCGATTAGTTGAATAGTTTTTCATTCGCATACCACAGCCAAGTAGGCTAGGTAGACGGAGAGACATGGAAAATGGGTGTATTGTTTAGTGTTAATATGTTAGCCTAGAAAAAAAAATCACTACATTTTTAAACAGTGAGTTTGGACTACACAGCTGTCGACCAGTGATGGAACTCAGACAAACGTTGATGTTTTCTTTGTTGTCCGTTGTTCACTTTGATCCCGTGTGTGTAATAAGAAGAAATTATTTAAGACAGTATTAGATGGCATCGCATTAGATCAATTCTGAACTGACGAATCAACGACCTTGGCCATTACTGTACGGGTGACGAATATGACTTGAGACACCTTTTGATCCAATCAATTACACATGAGACTAGTAATTTATATAATGGCGGTAATGCTCACGATTTTAACATTTTGATTTTTCAAACTGAAAATTAAAGAGATTAAGATGATGAGTCGGTACTCAACTTATGGCATTTAGTACGCATTGAAATGGTGTGTACAGTAGGCCTATTTTGTTTCCTATCGTGCCTTTCGGTTAAGTATCACATCCCCAACAAAATCGCATATTATTCGTTACGGTACGTAATTTCCTTCCATTTGTATATTAAGCTTGATAGTGATAGTTTATAAATGATTTTCATTTTAGTGTATTTAATATTTGCGACAGTTTGTAAATTAAACATTATGACTGTAAATATATTCTGTTTGCGTCAATTTGTCTTGTTATTGTTCATAAACAATTATTATTATTATTATTTTATTATTACGGTATTATTTTATTATGATTATTATTATTATTATTGTTATTTTTATTATTATTATCATTATTACTAATACTATTGCTATTTCTATTATTAATTATTATTATGAGATTATTTATATTACATATCATTACTGTAATTTTCATTATTATCGTCGTCATCTTTTATAATTACCAATAATATTACTATTTTCAGTATCATTATAATAATAATAATAATAATTATTATTATTATTATTATTATTATTATAGTTATTACCTACGTTTGGTATATAATTATCATTATTATGACACTATTTATCATTAATATCGTTATCATCATGATCATGATCATCTGGGGCCCCCAAATAGAATTTGTTGATACAGTATTACTATTATATTCCATAAAAGAATTAAACTCAAGATAAAATAGTCGTAGGCCTACCGGTACATTATTATTTTCCTGCTTCTTTTTTCACCTCGGTGCTTAATCGCGCACGTGAGAATATTTAAAAAAATGTTATTTAGGCCTATAGGCCTATATATATCTCGATAACTATATAAAAATAAAGGCTAACTCTAATAATATAGCAACAGTAAGATATACGGTACTTTAGCAGGATTGATCTTGGGATATCTAGTAACGTTTCAAGAGTCAACACCCTATTGTCTTGGTGCCTCTTCGGAGACTGCCAATTATTCATCTATATCCAGCGCATAGGCTAACAGGCCCGTAGCGTATGGGTGGGGTTGGTGGGTTAAGGGGTTACACCGAACCGCCTAAAAACTAGATAAGGTGCCGCATTTAAAAACGAAAAATTGATATTCGTAGATATATTTACAATGTTCTCCAGAGTATCGGAGTTCATACAAGCCGAAGGGTCCACTTTCCACTGAAACGAACCTCCCACAAATTAAGTCACGCTCTACGGGCCTGCATATTATATCATATATCAGAAAGAACTGTTTAAAAGACGCTCTTTACCTGGTCTTGAATACAAAATCAGTAGGCCTGCCACCTCCGCTACTTGGGGTTACTGTGAATTAGCAATAATTAATGAAAGAGGTGGGGGGAGGGGTCTCCAGGATTTGCCCTACGGGGGATCTGATGTCCCCGACGAAAAAAAAGTGGGCGTGGTCGTGCGTCGCTCAAAATCTCACGAAAGTGTTCCAAGGGAGCAAAGCCCCGGAAAAGAAAAAAATTTACGGGTTTCAAAGGCTTACTGTATTTAATCGATTTTAGAGTCTACTAATAAAAATATGTAGAATATTTTTTTTTTTCCTGACCAATTGTGGTTTTTCTCCCCGACGGGAGGCCCTTCCCCCACCCTACCCCCCTCCCCCACTGCGGACAGACCGGATCAAAAATAATCATTCAAATTACGTTATTGTTTTTGATTGCCAATCCCTAATATTGTAGTCATAAAAGCACAATGGGCCATACCCAAGCCATGAAAACTCTCCCCGTGAACCACGGCCATTGTTTTTTTGTTCTGGAACCCTGGCCGAGTCTCTATCGGCCACTTGGTTCGGACCTCCCTCCCCCTACCCCCCATGTAGAACATGTCGGACTCCCTGTTGGCGGAACCGCTTCACGGCAGTCGGTCTCAAACTAATGACATCTTGCTTGGTGACCATCCACAATTTTCATGATTTTCTCAAGAGGAGTAGGCCTACAGGCACACATGCTTTAGAGGGAGGAGTGCGGTTATAGTGTAGTCCCCCGTTCCGCAACCTTTTTAGCCCACGACCCAAAGTATATGCCCAGCACTCTGACGCGACCCATCGAACCCAAAATCAATAAAACGTCCGCGCGAGGGATAGCGGGAAGAACCACCCACTTTATTCATTTTGTAAATTGATTCAAATATATTATCACCCACAAAATCACTAGGCCTATGAAAAAACCCATAAAAATGAAAATATAACTTTAAATTACTCATTTAACAAAATCACGTAGGCCTAAGTTATCAAATTTTTCAATAAGTTAAAGACTTTTAAAAATTAACGATTAGCAGACATTTTATCATAATTTCCTAGTGCTGCCAGAGATTTATGGGTTATGCGAAATAGACACATAAAATTTAAAAATGTTTTCTCATTATAATTTGCAGCTGAAAGTTTAACACATTGAAATGAACAAAACTAATACTCTAAAGTTGTCATACCTGAAGTACATTTAATGTTTGGATACAGTTAACATGAAACTGTGATAACGCACACATAACAAAAGTAAACTGATACACTTGTCACACTTAAATTGCACTTTTGTTTACTATAATTTAATTTCGTTTGTCTTCATTTGTGTTAATTAAGGTTTTCACGATCTGAAGAGATTAAGCGACCCATCAATTTTTTTTCGCGTCCCAAACATTGGGCGCGACCCATAGGTTGCGGAACGGTGGTGTAGTCGATAATCATAAAATATTAGAAAAGGGGTATAAATGATGATTTAAAAATGAATAAAATTATATTGTGTACTATTTGGTTACAGGGACCCGAAGAGGTGGTAACAGAAAAAAAAGAGTAGGCCTTATTTTGTGCTGTTGTAAAAATGATGAAAATGACGGATAACTCCAGAGTGTTATGTCTAAGTATATGTAAGCTTTAGGGTTTCTACTGTAGAACCTCCATGGTAGAACGAAGTACTATTATACAAATACTTGTACATTTTAATAATTTCATTCATTTTATATATTGTTAGTTGCATACAAGCAAAATATTCTTATAACAAAAACAATACTCATCATTAAACACCGATAAACCACTAAATAAGTGAAGTTATTTTTAGCCGTAGGACAAACATAATGTAATACGTTATGCATCGTTTACTCAATATAGTTTTCACGTACTTTGTTTTCATAATTTTGGCACCGAACATAACGCTACCTCGGTTGGAGTGGAGGTTAACAGTGACCGGGACAGTGATGAGTCGAAAAAGATAAAGATGATATTAAAAAATATTATTATTTATCTAGAGGGGGCAGCAACCATGCTGGTTTTTTTGGCTGTCAAAAGAAAATCCTTGCTATGACGTCATCTACTAAGGCTGTGGTTTATGTGATAAGTGTTGACTCACTGGCATACTAAACGAAAAGAAAATATAAATTGTAGATACTTCGAGCGGATTGGTGTAGTGAATGATGTATTCTCATTTATTTAGTTAAAGTAAGTCACTCTGCATATCATAAAGTGATTAGTTTTACGTATTTTTAAGTGCTTTAAAACGAGTAAAACGACAAAAAACATAGATATTGAAGCCACGCTGACCTACGTTACTCGTTAGGCTAGGCCTAGGCTAGCCTAGCTGCTGTTGTACGTACAATGGAGCCTGGCCCCTGGCCCTGCCTTGGCTAGCTTACGGTCCTTCTTTGTGGTAGTTAGACCAGAGAGTCCCTTGTTAGACCTTGGTTACTGTATATCCGCCTTAGCTCTGTTCTGGCCTGTTGGAACATGAACATGTTCACAATCAAATTAAAAATAAATCTTTGTGATTTTTTCCCCCAGAAATTGTTGACACTGAGTGAGTGACAGTACAAACAACAAGAAGGAAGGAACTTCAAATTTTACGTTCATCTTGTTTGTCGGTCATCAAATTCAAAGAAAGTTGTCCACATTCGTAATGATATCAGGAAATAATCTCAATGTTATTTTGCTTATTATAGGTAGGCCTAAGTCTTTTCAATTTAATTATTGTCATTGAGTGGTAATTTACTGTATTAATACTGTGTTATGCTAAACAAACAAAAATGTTTGTTTTCCAGGTGTTTTTAAGTCTATTATTTCTATTATTATCTCACCAGCCCTCAGATACTAGTGATCCGCACTGTAAAGTAAAAACAACAAAATTAAAGTGAATAAATAAATAACGGGGGAACAGAAGGCAGTATAATGTATTGTAGACGAATCTAAATTGCACATTATTTACATTGCCCTGGTGGGAGTCATTAAACCAGTACATTAAAAAGCGAAATTACACGATTACTGTATTGAGAGACATAATTAATGTCTCTCAATACAGTATTAATATCCTTGTAAATTTAATACTGTACAGTATGGCAACATGTCAGATAGGCCATTGTATAGTTTGCTGGGTACATTTTAATAGGCTCTCTAAAATAGCTTGTAATAAATGCTGGCCTCAATTAAGTGCTGCAGTGCATGGACTTGGGGATGTGAAAATTGAGAATGCGTAACTGGAGGGTTTGAAAATTGAGAATGCGTAACTGGGGGGTGTGAAAATGGGTTACCGTTCATTACACCTGAATGACTTCATAGGCTTTCTTGAATAGGCATTTTGAAATCTAATATTTTACCATCAAAATGTACTAAAAGCTCAAAAGCTTGCATTATATTATTTATCGAACACACATTTATTCATCAATTAATATTTGCAAAGAAAAAGTAAGATACAACATCTTAATAATTACGTTAGAAATTGGAATCAAGTGTTTGTTGAACGCTTTTTGCAAAGATAGCAACAGAGTAGTATCACGCGGTATCGTGACGTAACATGGTAGTACTCTATGTGATAAGGGTTATTAAATATTAGACAAAGTTAGAAGATACACAGAGCTTGCAGAAAAACCTTATTCAACATGGACTTTGTGCCTATTTGTAGCATATACTGTGCTATCAATATGACAGAACTCTGATATTAAAACAGGAAATATTGTTTGTGTGAATACAGTACTGAATAGATAGTTGTGGAGGAGTCAATTATCAAATAGCTAGGCCAGCAAAAAATAAACTTTATTTTAGAATAGGATGGTTGGGCCCCTTTTTCCATAGAGATAGCCACCACTGTCACTGTACAAACAGTAGAGGCCTAGACCAGACATGTGTAGTTCTTTTTTAAATAGACATGTATACATAGATATTTTTTTATTGTTTGATGGTAGAATTTATGCTATGTTTCTGGGATTTTTTGTAGTATAAAAGATAAAGATTTAACAGTCCAAATATAGGATGAGCGAATAGACTACTGTAGAAACTACTTCTTTTTTTTTTATACAGTAGGCCTAATTGACAACTATATGCAAGAAGAAAGTATGCAATTTGCTGTCATAAAATTGTTAGGCATTTCCTCATTTGATCTGGGGATTTTTCCCTAAATAAAGCCCAAATAAACAAGGGCTCTAGTCTAAAATTCTTAATAATAGAGCTAATACTCATAGTTACCAGCCGTCTCGCATCGTGCGGGATAATCCCGCATTTTAAAGTGATTTTGGATGAAAGACATTTTGCAGAAACACATGCATGATCATAAATTTGTCATGCATTTAGCACAAGTCTATGCGTGATATCAAATTATCACTAATTCAGGGGAATATGTATTTAGAATTAGAAGAAATTGGTTTTGTTAAAAATATAAAAACGGTCATGCAATACTGTAACTTGAGTTATTAGAAGGCTTTTGTTATCTCATCGAGAATCAATTCATCGAGAAAATTTCTCTTTTCCGACAAAAACAACCCAGCCAAATGCGCACTTAGTAGAATCTAGGAGGCGCGTGCGGTCTTACGTGTTCATTGTCACAACCGACCATTGATTATGTGACTGAGACACGGCCCCCCTCCCTAGCCAACTGCTACATAGTCACGCATTTCAAATTTCTCAGGTTGGTAACTATGAATACCTAACCTCAAGTATTATAAATAATATAAATTTTGAATTTTTGTAAATTTTATAAGTCTTTTAATTAAGTAATTTTAAATGGAACTGTATCAAATGTACAACATACAACATGATACTCAGTTATTGTCCAGATGAAAATGTTATTTGTTTACACATTAATGATTCACTCATGAGCATACAGTAAAATGAAAGACTGAGCAATCTAATATTGAAAGCAAGAAAATGTTAGACATGACATTTTTCAGCATGCAAAGAATCTGTTTATATTACACCGACACAAAATAGAACAAAAAAAAAAAAAAAATAAGGATAAAAATTTACACAAAATATCAGGTAAAGTGACATGTTTGCCCACAGTGTGTGGGTATTGCAAACCTTTTTTTTTTGGCCTAATTTTAACATTGATGAAAGTTGAAAATTCCTATAAAATTGTTTGCGTTTTTCACTTCAAGGACATATAAAAATAAAGAAACTTGGAAGTAACATGAAATGAGTGTGGGATGAGTATAAACATTTCCTCCATGGTATAAATCAGTATATTCATGTTTATTTCATGGCAGGATTAGTGATAGTAGGATACAAGGGGCCTTATAAGAGGATTATGGCTTGACAGTGGGATTAATGGCAGTCAGTATGAAAAGCCTAATGTCAGTGGTTTTGCCATTATATACAGTATTGGGATCAGTGACTGCTAGCAGATTTAAGGGGCCTACAAAGGGAATTTATTTTATATCTTTTTCATCCAACAGTAAGAATTCTCACCAGTTAAAGGATAGAACCATACCATGTTCTATGAACTCTTTACAGAGGTTTAGGGAATAGATGTTTCTTTGTGCTGGGTGCACTTTTATGGTGTCACTGCGAGTATGACATATTTTTAAGCAGAGTGGACTTTCTTCCATTCATAAATTTTCAAAAAAAAATTACTATTTGTTAATTTATCTGAAAATTGATTTGGTTTTGTTGGAAATGTAAATAAATTAAAAAGGGGAAAAAAAAGCATTTTAGCAAACACAGAATTTGAAATTTAGGAACACGTTGTGCTTTGGGCTCAGTATCATGAGCAAGCTGGTTTTTGAAGGGAGTGATTGAGGCACATCCGCTGTGGTATGGCGAAGTGCCATGGTATGGCAAAGTGCCATGAATACCAGAGGAAGCTCTGTTTGTTCCATACATATGATCCCAACTAGGTTAGAAAAAAAGTAATTCTACTGGTGTAAAACATTAATAGAATGTCTTACGAATGATGTTGCTTCCATTAGGCTTGTTTGCATTCATTTAGAGAGGGAAGGACGTTTATTTGAGGAAAAAAATAAATGCCTCGAGGCATTTATTCAAGGGGGGTGTTTTTTTTCAATTGAGGCTCTGAGGGGGTGTTTATTTGATATTTGAGGGGGGGGGCATGACTAGTTTATCCTTATCTTGCTATTAAGATGGTCAGGTTTAATAATAATAATAATTAATAATAATAATTTTGGCTTATATAGCGCATTATGCTAAAGCCTCAATAAAACTACTGTAATCTGCCAACCAGAACCAGGGTATGGTACCATGCCCCTAGCAAAGTTCAAATACTATGGGAACTTAAAACATTAATTGCTATAGTAATGTATGTTTATTACTGGGCCAATACAATAAGTCTGCCAATTATAAAAAAACATCAGTATATCCTGATCAAGTCTACGCTGAATACAGAGTTCAGGCTAATAATATTATTGCCTATTAGTAATTCTGTTAATAACTATTTTATAGTGACTTGCTGTCTATAAACTCATGGGTTAATGTTCAAGAATTGATTGAACATTGTTTTTACATCAACAATTGAAAACTACTGCTTCACCATACAGATTCATCATACAGATTCAAAACAACATTCAGTAATTAATTGCAAATGTTTTGCCTAATAATTTACTCCATTATAATAAGTTTTAATTGTATGTTTTTCATTATGACTCCTGTGGTATCAATTTAAGGTTTCTTGCCTTTTAGAAATTTTAGTTGGTGTAACCATGTGATACTGTAGTTCAAGATCTGTTTATTTTAGGCTAGTTTTATTTGTCATGTGATTTCCTATTGTGTTTTTTTCTCTTGAGTTTTGTTTAGACACCTTGAGATGATGTTTATTATATAACGCAGCAGTATAGAAATAAAAAAAAAATACTAACTTTAATATTCTACTCAACACCGTGCAATGCAGCTAGGCTTTGACGTCAGGTTATTGTTTTGGGCGTGAAGAATGTTATACAACAGAACAAAAGGTTTTTACTGATGTTCAGAGACCATGAAAGCAGTGAAAATCTGATCAGTAGGATTCAATCCACTGCATTACAAATAATATACACATGTTTCTCATCTGTAATTTGAACTCTGTTCAAAATTATATAAACAGTTATAAACAAACCCTAGAGGTCTGGGGAACTCCCCCACAAAACTTTTGAACTCCCCCCGCAAAACTTTTGTCTTCTAGACGCCTGAAATTAACCTCTGAGGCATGTCATAAAAATTACACTGTGGAAATATCTTCATATTTCACCTCACTAGCTACAGTAGTGTTGTTTGGTCCAGATTAGAGGCACCTGATCCCAGAAAAGATCAAGACCATGCTAAACTAGAGTACATAAACACACATCTCTGGTTGGTGATGTGGGTGTAACCCAATACTTAAGATTGGGTGTTAGCTTGGTAGTTTTTTTTTTTTTTGTTTCTTTTCTCTTTTGTTGATTATTTATACCCATTTTTTCATTGTCTTCTTACCTTTTGTCAAGCGCATAGAGACCTCATTTTTTGCGCTATTATAAATTCATCTATTAATAATAATAATTATTATTATTATTATTATTATTATTATTATTATATTATTATTATTATTATTATTATTATTATTATATTATTATTATTATTAACATTATTATTATTATTATTAACATTATTATTACAGTACAGAGCTGTAAAAAGTTTTTGTTTGTTTGTTTTTTTTTGCTGGTCCAAGGTCTAGTTTTGCTAAAATAGTTGCTAGCCCTTATATATCAGCAATTAAATATTGGTGGTATTGTAATAAGGTTTAATGTGAAGTAGTGAATTCTACTGAGTAATTGGGACTATCTTTTGACAGAAGGGGTTAGTTCCAATCATTTAACAACGAAATGAAAAGGCTCGCCTAAAGGTACTAGAATCTAATTTAATGATAATTATTTGAAGTGTTTTGATAATAAAGTATTAATGAGTAACTATTTTCTTATCTTCCGTCAGTCTGCTGCCATTCAGGTATACTCTATACCCAAGGTAAGAATTTAGTTTATAATTCATTCATAGCTGTCAGCAAGTTACTAAAACTTGAACTGTACGGTAGCTTGTGATTATAGTTTGGTTTGCATAAAATCGCTACACAGTCGCCACAGCATTTTCCCAGCAAACCTTGCACTGCGTAGCTGTTCCTGACGCAATCAGGAACGATCCTTGATTGACGCTGACCAATCAGCGTCGCCCAAGAGTCAGCGATAGTGTGTAGCAATTGTTATGGAAACCATGCTTAGCACGTTGACTGCCAAGCCTTTTTTCCTAGTTTCATCCCATTATACCAAAGCATAAATGGCACCACCATTAACAAAAATTGTTTCCATCAACTGCAATGAAACACAAACAAAGATATAGCATTTATTTTTTGGAACATCACTTCCAGGTTCTTCCCTGAAACTTCAGGACGAGCGTTCACATTCTTGCGACCACTCCCAGCGAGTTTACGTGCAATACAATAGTGGTATGACTTTAGACAGATGTGGACGTGAACTCGAGTCTTTACCACCCCAAGTGAACCCTGTCAGACATGAATTCGCGTTGCTGGCAACAAATGTATTAATGCGCTTACCTTCCAATCCTGAAGTCCTGGTTTAAAATCCGCGCAAGTGACCATATTTAAAAAAAATTAAATTTAACTTCACTCTCTAAGCGTTGTAATGAGACTTGTTGAGCATCATTGTAATTGTCTAGGGAAAAAGATTGTCGCTTATGTGTTGTCATCTGAATAGGTACTCTTTGCTTTAAAATTAAATCCAATCATCAAAGAATTTTATCTGGTCTTGTTGGTGTAATACAGTATGTTGTTTTTTTGCTATGTATTATTTTGTCTAATTTAAAGAAATTTACATCCATATTAAATCCAGTGTTTTGTATTGTAATCAGATTATTGTCATACTGTATTGAAAAACATTTTTTTTTTAAAATACTAAGGATGTGGGGATATCCATCATCGTGGACAAGGTGAGATTAGATCTCCAAACTACCCAGACCCATACAATAATAATGAAAATTGTGTCTGGAAGATAAAGTCTTATACTGGAGAAGTGGTTACAATCAGGTAATGAAGCATGATGTGAATTATATTAAGGCCAATCAGACAGCATTGCACGACGCAACTCGACAGGATTTATCGCCAGGGACAGTATTTAGGTCGTCATGAGAATGTTAAACATGTTTAATCTTTTATGATGCAACTGTCGCCAACAAAGGTCTATCGCGTCGGTCTGTGTTTAACTCGCATAGACCCAACACAATTTTTTGTCGCTGTGTCATACAACACTGTCTGAATTGGTCTTAAAAAAAAACCATGAACATGTGTTCAAGAATTTGTTTCATTTATAAACATACATATAGGTGTTTAACATACAATATACAGGGTAACTGCCGAGAAAAGAAGGCGGATTACACATGTTAAAATTTGTACATTTCAAGAAGAATGTACAAGAAAAATCCTGTACATACTGTACTCCCAATAGGAAGGGACCAACAGGTGATAAACACCTTTATAATGGTCTGTTCCCAATGCACAAGCAATATGCATGGATTATATGCATACATGCATAATCATTAAAGTATAGACATACATACAGTACATAGGCACAAGTCAAAGCACAGTGCCAACTATATAGGCCTAAGATCTGAAGTTTACAGCTAAATAATTATTCTCTCCCTATGCATTTTTGACTAATATTAACCCCTTGGTTAAAGTATGGTAAGAAATGAAATTTTAATATGTACCCTTTTCACATAGGCCTACTGCTACTACTAGTATTCCAAAGTCTTTGTTGATTAAAGGGAAAAAAAATAGTCAAAAACGCAACCCTAGATTCTTTAGATTTCAATTGATTGATCATCATAGATAAATCAAGCATCATCATGTATATGCTTATAATACACTAAATACTGTGTAGTTTATATAATTTTAAGTAGTGCTCAATATTTCTGTTATTAAAATAAATGTCCATGCTGAACTCGAAACATCAATATTTTTTGTCATTAAATAATGTGTTAAAATCTTCCTCCACACCTGCCCTTGGCTAAGTGTAGATATCAGCTCATGGTTAGATAACCATTAGGCAATAAAAAAGATTTTACATGTTTTGGTATTAAAAACTTAGCGCAGATGTTGGCTTAAATCAGTGTCATTGATTTGACATGACTGTCTTTGTGGGCTCAATAGAGCATGATATTCATATTTTGAATAAAACGTTTCAGAATACAATAAAAATTATACTAAATGTCTGTTGATTCGTAGAATAAATGTGTTGTCAAAATTGTTATTGTTTTGTTTACAGATTTCAGCATATGGACATTGAACGTGGTGCAGAATGCATTGACAGTCTGAAATGCACATTTAACCGTTCTGTTACCGAGACATACTGCGGTACTAAACTGCCAAACCCTATTACAACACAGTATGCAACGCTAGAGTTTACTACCGATCAAACCAATGTTCGTGATGGATTTTTACTGGATTTCTATACAAGTAAGTAGGCTTCATTTATATAAATGTTAACAAATCAAATATTGACCATTGACAACCACTAAGCTACTGATTGCATTTGACCGCCGAAGCAGTGATTGTATTTACATCGTAAACCACATTGTAAGTCCCTGTAAAACCACTTATGGTCTGCTATCATTGCTCAACCACTAACTATCATTGGATTGAATTTTTCCAGTGTGAAATAGACAAAATAAAATTCACAAAAGTTTGAAGTATTATTTCTACTGGTTTCCTTCTGGTGATGATTGGGCAGTACACCAGGTGACATCCCCTATTCTCTTCCAAAGGGTATACTGCATTTTTTAATCTGCCCATGGGTCATATTCTGTTTAGTGTTCTGCCATCAGGCAGGTCCTGGGTTGTCAACTCCGCCACTGGCATAGACCTTCACTTTTCTCTTCATTTTTTACTTAAAGCCTCTTATCCTTTAAATCATCTACCATCCCTATCCTCTTTCTTCCTCTTGATCTTTTCCCTTCCATTTGTCCCTCTAGGATTTCTTTCAACAAACTCTCTTCCCTTAAAACATGACCAAGCCAATTCTTCTTTCTTTCTTGTAATAACTGACAGTAATGCTCTCTTTCCTTCTATATTGTTCAGTACCTCTTCATTTGTCTTTCTTTTAGTCCAACAATCTTTCTGCATTCGTCTCCACACCCACATCTCAAAAGCTTCCTACCATCTAACTTCCCCCTTTAGCAGTGTCCACATCTCCACTCCGTACAAAGCCACGCTCCACACTACTGTTTTTATAATTTCCTTTTTAATATTTATGTTCAGTTTTTTTGTCAAGAGGAGGATGGGTCATATTTTGCACACATAAAAGATAGTGTGCTTTTCAAACTTGTATTTCTGCCACGTGAAACACTATGTAATGGAATCAGTGTTTAAAGGTATGTTCAGATTATCGAATTCTTTGTTATTTATAGGCAAATACCCAGCATCTTCGTGCAACCAAGAAACTGAATTTTTCTGCAAGGCAGAAAGGAAATGCATCCCCATAAATTGGAAATGTGATGGCCAATCAGAGTGCAGCGATGGCGCAGATGAGGCAGATTCAGAGTGCAGACGTTAGTAATAACTTTGCAACCTAGTAATATTTTTTATTACATAAATTATATTATTACTATACCTCATGAATATTAATTAGATTCCACGTGGTAAGAGTAGAGTAGTTTTTACTACTCCCTGTGAGTGCCAAACTAACATATACAAGTGGAAAGAATGTACAACCCAAAATCAAATACTGCACCCTTACCTACGTGAATCGTTAGCAAATTGTGTAATTTTACCCTCACAGATCGAAATGGCTAATGTAGATGGACGGTTGGTTTGCTGTTTAATACTTATGAGGATAGCAAAACAAATACATTACATGGTATTGTTTCAGTAAAGTGGTGAATTCCAATTCTCTCATTGTATGATTGGGACTACTTCCCTCCACTTCTCGTCGGCAGGTAGTCCCAATCATCCAATGCCTCGGGAAGTGGAATTCACTACTTAACCTCAAACCATGTTGTATTTGTATACTAACTTATGACCTGGTTATATTCTTTAACCATTTTCACCAGTTTAGAACTAGATAAGGTTATCTTGAGAAAATATGTCTTAATTATTTCTGTGATGAGCTATAATACTTGATTTATTTTTCCAATTACATCAAAACTAAGACATATCAGTAACTTTATTCTGACATCTCTGATCAACAGCTGTGACTTCCGTTGTACCAGTAACACAAGCTGAATGTGGGTTATACTATTTTTACTGCCGATCTGCCAAAACACACGAATACGCATGCTACCCAGAGGTGAAGAAATGCGATACAGTGAGGGACTGCGAGGACGGGCGCGATGAGGAAGGATGCCAACAATGCATACACTATCTGCATGACAGTATGGGTTACTTCACCTCGCCAAACTTTCCGTCAAATTACGGCTTTAATCTTCTATGCCAATGGAAGGTGATTGTGAAAGAGGGCAATACCATCCAGTTGAGATATGTAGATTTTATGCTTGATGGTGGCGAGCATACTGACTACATCTGGGTTTACGATGGTGGTAGTGAATATGCTGTAAGTAACTTTAATAGGTAATTTGTAGATTATGGTCTTCTAAAGACCAACTCAGACAGCGTCGGCCGACGCAGCCCGACCCGATTTATTGTCGGGGACAGTCTTAAGCCGTCGTGAGAAATATCAAACATGTTTAATATTCTACGACGCGACTGCCCACGCCGCACACCATCACGTCTGCGTTTAACTCACACAGACCCGACACGACAAATCGCGCCGGGCTGTGTCGTACGATGCTGTCTGAGTTGGCCTTAAGTGTCCATAACCAAGGTTAAGGATTATAGGTAATGCTAGTGGGCCAACCTGCATTAAAGCTGAATGATAGCATGAAGCATTTCACAGTATGTCATCAATGCAAGCTGAGTGGGTTAAAAGCTCTGCGCGCCAAGACTATCAATTTTATTGACAAAAACATGTGATATACCTAAATATGGTTATGATGACATCACATGACCATATATAAGCACATATATAAAGAGATGAAATGAAATGAAATAGAATAGATACAGAATTCTTCTGTTAATGAAATATTAAATAACAGGAATTTGCATAAGCAAACCTGTTCGTTTTTCGCTGATCAAAAGTTTTTGATTCACAAACAGAAAGTCAGCTCAACTGATGTACCATAGTTCTCGGGTATAAGCCCACCTCAGCTATAGCAGCACACCCCGTACTTTATGCCCAATTTTACATACCAGCCTTTCCTCGGGCAAAAGTCTAGGGTATAATTTGAATGAGTTAGATGACTTTTACAAATACTCTAAAAACAAAATGTAATATTGGCTTTAAATAAGGCATGCAGTGCTAAAAAATTGCCTTTTGATTGAAGAGGGGATTCCCCAGGTATTAACCCACCCACCCAAAATCGGCCACATATTGTGTTTAAGGAGGGTGGGCTTAAACCAGGGAAACTACAGTATATTTTTCTCAGATTAATTTAGCCTCTTTTTACTTTTTTCTCACAGGATAGGTATGGTCCATATTTTGGGTCAACATCAAAGGAGAGTTCGAATATGCCGCCAAAAGTGATTGAATCGACTGGTGATAGGATGCTGATTACATTCCATTCAGACAGCGTTTCAAATGGTGGCACAGGATTCAATTTTACCTACCAAACTAAAGGTCTGCCTTCAATAACAGTAATAATAATTATAGTAATAATAATACTAATACAAATATTACCCTCAAATAGTTAAAAATCACCTCATATCACCTTAGTCAAGACTTTTTTTATACCTTGGTTAGCGAAGCCGGCGAATGCAAATATTGATGGTTTCAAATCAAAATAAAATTTTATTTTTGGCCAATTAGCGCACTAACCACCACGAAAAAAGGGAAATTTCAGAAAAAAACAAAAGTTTTTCTTTATTTTTCCTATACCCTCCGCTGCTTTAAATCTCCAAATATATAAGATATGTATATTTCTTCCTAATTATATAAATTTAAAGCATTTAACCATCCCATTTTACATTCACCAATAAAATTTTTTTAAATTTTTTATTTAAACCATCTTTATACAGGATAACATTTCAGAATGAACTGGTTTTCAAATGGTCCTGTATTAGACCAATTAAAAAATTAAAATGAGATAAATATATACATCGGGAAAAAAGAAGAATTATCATCAATCAAATATAAGAAAAAATAGAGACAATCATAACAGCAGAAAACCAAAAAAGGCCTATGCAATTTTAAAAAGACAGATAAAAATTTTATTTTTATCCGTCTTGATGTTTTTGTCAAAACTATTTGCTAAATAAGGAAACAAAAACTTCATTTTTATTTTTATTCCATCCTCCGCAAATGATCTTAAAAAAAAATAAGTATGCGAAACAAGGAATAAAAAAAATCTTACCTTAGGACAAATAAAAAAAAAAATTATTGTGTTGGCTACGCCCGACCGATCCAAAAAGTATGAAATTGTGGTTCGATATTTTATTTATTTATTTTTTTATTATTATTATTTTGAGTGCAACGAAAAATATTTTTTTAATGAGCTAAAAAGGCTAGAATAGGCCTATCTTGCTGGACGATAGTAATGTTATGCAATCGTTTTGCTCATCAATATAGATTTAAAAATGGTCTTTGTTGTATTTTTGTGTATTTCCTACCTTTTAGGCATAAACACGTTATTAGTGTTTAAAAAAAAACTCCCTACCAACTTTTTTACCCATTTTTAGTTCCTATGCATGTAATGCAATAGGAACTATTGTAATCACTTTCACATTTCTTTTGTTTTTTTATTGTGTGTAGTATGTGTGTGCGTATGTGTGTAGACATTTATGCAAATGCGCATGCGTCAAAGAAAAGTTTTCCGACATTTTGTTTTACATCGCGATGCGAAGTTCGATGTGGATTTTCTGCAGAGTTCAGTCAGGGCTCACTCTAACCGATCGGCAAGTCGACATGCATGAAACTACTTTGGTTTTACGGCAAAAAAAATCAACTGCTGTGGCATAGGTATTTTGAAGAAGGCCTAAAATAAAACAAAAAGGTTTTAATACTTGCTGAAATACATCGTTTTTTCATTTAGATCTCCATTTTTCACTAACTCCATGCGACGTTTTTTCTGTTTTGAGTAGTCCATAGAGCTATTAAACAACTAGAGTGTTGACAAGATGGCGCAGCAATGCAGAGTTATGTATGTGTACCATCCAAGATGGCCGTCGTAGTAAAGCGCCACCTTCAGGCTTAGTATACATACTGTCTCTTGCCCTCTGACTGACTATTATTTCATTAATGATAATGAGTAATGGTAATAACAAATTATTAAACTATTGTAGCCAAATCGAGGCCAAGTGGAGCATCTTATTCAAAAATAAAGTACCCAATGATAAAAATTAAAATCGTGTACATTACACCCAAACACCGCAGCGCTCGAGTTTAAAACATACGGGTAGCTAGCTGTACTGAACCTGCTCAGTAAATTGAGGGCGCAATTGCAAACGATGGTGTTTACCGAAATTTGATTGGCTAAATCTATGGCAGCCATCTTGGATGGTACCCACACAGTTCTGCGTATTTCGAACATCGAATACATTGCGGTTAGCGCTCTAGCGCTAGTATTCTTATTATTATCTCTATGGAGTAGCAGGAAGTAGTCATATGAAGGTACCATATCCCCGACAGTTGGCTATGCAGCAATG